CATGGACAGTTGCTTTGGGGTTTCTGTTTCTGCCCTCGAAATTTTTTTTTCAAGTGATTAAAATCTTAAACTGTTATCAATAAGAACATTTTGTTCTATTATGGGAAATTTATTGAACAGTTTTTTTTTGTTTGTAAAATATGCATCAATGTATAAAACAAACTCTCACAATTTATGTAAAACCAAAAAAGGGAGGGAACTAGGCCCCCCCTCTACATGTGCTGCCAAATTATTATACCTAACCATGTTCAAATTAAGTAATTTAAATTTGACTTTTGACTCATAAATCTCTTCAACAGAGCACTGCCTGGCAGCATTTATCATCTACTCAAAAGCTTCCTCCAACCAGTAATCTCTGAGCCTTCTGGGAAGTGCAGGCTTTTGATAACTGGAGCGGTCAGAGATATTTGGGATATGAAGGGAAAACTTCAACCCAAGTCTCTGCAAGCCTACTGTGCTGGACTGCATGCTCACTAATTTTGAAAAGGGCTTCTCTGGTGATTATAGAGTTAAATTGAAACCAGAGCGGTCAAGAGCCCTCTGTGAGATGGAATGGTTGTCTTTTTTTTTTGGGAGAGGTTTTCGATATAGGGTGAGTGCGCTCAGACAGACAGAGAGAGACATAGAGACAGAAAGTGAGAAATCACCCCCCAGGGGGGATGGCCACGCCGCAATCCCTTCTCCTCCATTCTCCTCTCGGGATCTTGGGCATGCATGCACACATGCCCTGTGTGTTTTAAGCCACCGGGTCCAGGACGTGAACTGCGGTTGACTATGTGGGAGTCCAGCAACATAGCCATTACACTAACTGCTGGTTCCTGAATGGTCTTCTTTTAAAGTGGGATGGCTGCTGGAAGAACTCTACATCTTCCCACCATGTGGGCTATATACAATGTGGTTACTGGCACCCCAGGCCATCCTGACCAGTTTCCCTATGCTGACTCCCAGCTACAGATAGCCCAAGTCATTCCACCTTGGGCGCAGATCTGCATAAGAGGGAAAAATCAGTGCACTATTTTGACCGCTCATGCCATGCTGCCTGCCTCCTACTGAAAGAAACCTATGGCTCCAATCCTGCAGGCCCCCCCAGAAGAGGAGCCATTAGCAGCTCCACCTCCATATACCCTGGCCAAGGCAATCATCAAAACCCCACCCCATCTGTTTCCCTGGCTCCTAAATAGCAGTCCTAGCAGCCAACGCCAGCCCTGCCGGCTCAGGGGGAAGGCTGACAGCCATCCTGAGTCCTGGGCGCAGATTCTGCCTCATCCACTGCTACCCAGTGAGCCACTGCAGTCCAGGGCAACCTCACTCTTTAGATACCCCTCTAGGAGACCAGAGAACCCCGAAGACCACCCCCCCCATAGGTGCAGATGGGGCTATTATGAAAGGCAGGGTAACTCTCTACTACCAGCTCTTCACCACTGATTTGCTTAATTGGAAACACCACACCCCCTCCTACTGAGAACAGCCCCAGGCAATAATAGATCTCATGAAGTCTATACTCCAAACTCACCAGCCCACCTGGGACGACTGTCAGCAACTACTCCTCACCCTACTTAACACAGAGAAGGACCGCAGAGTCCTCGTGACAGCAAAGAAATGGCTACAAGAGCCTGTCCTCAACCATGTGGAGGTCCTGAGGTTTGGGTCAGAACTGCTTTTCTGAATGAAAAGCCTGACTGGGATTTCAGTACTGAGGGTGGACATGTCCATTTCAGCAAGTATCGAGAGGCACTCCTGCATGGTACGAAAGCTGGTACTAAGAAACCTATAAAAACTACAGAAATGATTCAAAAGATAGATGAGCTGCTGGGGCAGTTTTAAAAGAGGCTCTGCGAGGCATAGTGGGTCTATACTTCACTTGATCTGGAGAGGTCCACAAGCCAGCAGATGATTAATGGTGCCTTTGTCACACAGTCGGCCCCCTAACATCTATAAAAACAAAAACAAAAACAAACCTCCAAAAGCAGAAAGGTTTCACTGGGATAAATGCCACCCAGCTCCTGGAGACTGCTAATCGAGTCTTCATGAACTGAGATTGAGAGGAAGAAGCAGAAAGCCACCTGCTGACCGCCCGGATGCCCCACCCAATCCAAGAGAGAGGGCCAAAAACCGACCTCCCCAGGCTTAGACCAACCTGAAAAGAGAATGGACTGGAGAGCTGAATGCCCCAAGCAGAAGGCAAACCAAGGGAGAATACCAAAAATCCACCGGGAGCCCTCAAGACCTTCTGCCCAGAACCTTCAAGGGATGTCCTCGCCATGATGGAATAGGACCAGAATAGGACCAAATGGGCTCCATAATCCTGGGCCCCCAGGAACTCCTGGTCAATGTCAAAGTGGGAGACCAGTCAATGACATTTATGGTAGATACTGGAGCTGAACACTCCATTGTCACCCAGCTCCTGGCCCCCCATCAGGCCAAGAAGCCATCATCATGGAGGCCACTGGAAACCCCCAAACTCAGCCCTTTTTACAGGCAAGAAGCTGTTAGCTGGGGGTCACCTGGTTACCCATGAGTTCCTGTACCTGTCTGAGTGCTCAGTCCCATTGCTGGAAAAAGACCTATTGGCTAAACTCAGGGTGTAAATCAGCTTTGACTCAACAGGCTTGGCTGCATTACTGTCAGCCCTGCCAAAATCCTGACTATAACAATGCCCTAAGAGGAAGAATGGCAAATATTCACGCCCAGAGAAGTGCTTGCTACCGACTTAGAGCACTTTCCAGGTCAGGAAACTGATGTACTCCTCTGGAATATGTTGACGACCTCCTGCTCACTAGACTGACTGGAGAATTGCTGGAAGGGAACTCCAGTGCTGCTCCAGCTTCTCCCTCAGGCCAGATACAAAGTCTCAATGAAAAAGGCCAACATCTGTCATATTCAGGTGCAGTCCCTAAGATTCATTCTGACTAAAGGACACCGTACTCTCAGGCATAAACACAAACAGGTGGTAGATGGGCTGCCTCAGTCGGCAACCAGAAGACAACTGCACGAGTTCCTGGGAGCAGCAGGGTTCTGTAGGATTTGGATCCCAGGCTTTGCTGAGGCCAGACCACTGTATGAGCTACTCAGAGGCCCAGAAGAGGCCCTGATCGAATGCGGACCCCTCCAAAAGCAGGCTTTCCAGGATCTAAAGTGAAGTCATGGGAAGTCCCAGGCACTGGGGCTTCCAGACATCACCTGAGAATTCAATCTGTTCATATATAAAACAGGTCAGATAGCACTAGGAGTTCTGACTCATCCCATTGGATCTTGGGAGAGACCCGTCACCTACCTGTCTAAGAGACTTGATCCTATGGCATCTGGATGGACCCCTTGCCTGTGAGCCCTTGCCACCATTGTCGAATTAATTAAAGAGGCAGACAAATTAACCTTAGGCCAAGTTATCACCAGTCGGGTGCTTCACTCAATGACTTCCCTGATAAACAGCAGAAGATATAAAGGGCTAGCCAGCTGTAGGATATCGCTACCAGGGCTTATTGATTGGAAATCTCTGAATTAGGCTCCGGATCCTGCAGAACCTCAACCCTGCTAACTTCCTCCCAGCCACACTGGGACCTCCTGTCCACAACTGTGAAGAGGCCCTTGATGAGGTATTTTCTGGATGTTGTGATCTTGTAGACACACTGCTGAAGGCCCCTGACCTCACTCTCTTCACTGATGGCAGCAGCTACATGAAAGATGGAAGTCGATATGTTGGCTCTGCAGTTACCTCTCAGGACATGGTGATCGAGGCTGGGGCACTGCCCCAAGGGTGGTCAGCTCACCAGGCTGAACTCCGGACATTAATCCAAGCCCTAAATTAGTGATTGGAAAGAGAGTAAACATCTACAGAGACTCACAGTATGCCTCTGCCACCCTACGCGTCCACTGGCCATTATATCGAGAGGAGACTCTTCTTGGCAGAAGGAAAGACAGTTAAAACAACACAAAAAAAATCTGCCAATTAGCAGAAGCAGTCTGGGAGACAAAGCAAGTG